AATAATGAAGGTAACAACAAACACTCTAACAACAATAACAGGTAGACAAGTAATATAACAAACACTCTAAGAACAATAACATGTACACAAGTAATGATGAAGGTAATAACAAACACTCTGACAATAATACGACAGTCAGCATATCCACAAGGCAATATCAGAACCAGTATTTTTTGCTTTGATTACCGCTATTTTGTACTCTAACTCATCGAAAATATGATGCAGACATTTGGAGAGTATGGGAAGATCAGATGACCGACAGACATCGGATGACTGGTGCAACACGCAGTACATAGTCAACCCTAAACCCTAAAACCGTAAAACCCTACAAACACATCAACGCACACACACTCTGCGTGACGTGATCTACGGGACTCAATCTATAGACACAGCAAATGTCTTAGATAGGGTCAGATTTCTTAGGGAATAGGGTTTACTTAAATATGTACCGTGTGCATGAAGTACCAGGCGTACAATACATGCGATGAACGCAGGCAAAGGTTCTGCGTCATATCATTCGCATGTATCTCCAAACGAACCAAAGACTATCAACTGTCACGAGTGCTTGCACCTTTTGCGATGTTCATAATGTCATTAACACCACCTGCGTTCTACGTTACGCCTACCTTTGGCTTTAGTATTACGCCTACCTTTGGCTTTAGTACTACGCCTACCTTGGGCTTTAGTACTACGCCTACCTTTGGCTTTAATATTAGGCCTACCTTTGGCTTTAGTACTACGCCTACCTTTGGCTTTAGTATTCCGCCTACCTTTAGCTTTAGTATTACGCCTACCTTTGGCTTTAGTGTTACGCATACCTTTGGCTTTAGTAGGGCCTCTGGGTCTTTGCGCTTTTTTGGATCAGTCTCCATCATATCCTGCACAGAACAAAGACACAGACAGTGAGCAGAGACAAACTACTAATAAGGCATCAGAAACCCTAACTCCAAAACCCAAACTATCAACAAGTCATTGATGGATGTGTTGTCATAACTATATGAAGATACATCATGTGTATGTAAAGCATAGTATCGTGTGTGCATATGAACAGAATTTCATGTGCATATAAATACAATGTATATATATATAAAAATATAATATCATGCATATATATACTTAATATCATGTGTGTATGTATAAACATAATATCATATGTGTATATAAACATAAAAACGTATGTGTATATAAGCATAATATCATATGTGATAGGTATTTTTCAATATTATTCTATAAACATACGATCATATGTGAGTGGTACTTTGTTTCAAAGTCTCTAGTTAACATGCACAACAGTCAGAGGCTGCAACACAGCTATGAGACTGTATCACAACAAAACAAACTATGCCGTGCTAAGAGTATCACATGAATGAACGTAAAGGTAGCATGTTTGATATGTGCGTATTAGCTAGAGATAGGCGTACCCGGAACATGGGAACCAATGAATGATAAGAGTGGCACAGGCAGCACTGAAAGGCAATTGCACAAAATAAACGGAATGTCACATACAACACGATGGCCACACATTACACCGTATAGAGAATAAAAGTGGCCAATACATTTGCGAATATCAGATGGCGCAGATAGTGCTTCTACAACTGAACTCATGGATGGATGTAACTAACGCATGACCAACGAGAAAGAAGCAATGTTTACATGTACACTCGTACTCAAACAGGCACATGATACATGACACGCGTGTTTGTATATAAATATCGTGTATAATTATAAATATATTTATAATTGTAATTCTAAATATAAAAAGAAAACTAATATAGTTATGATTGAAGGTAAA